TGCTGCTTTCAATCCCAATCTCTGTGTTTTATGGAAGCTCTGCAGTCTGGAATCTGTCTTGCCTGTTGCACACAATTATGTTTTTGGGGGCTTGAAGTCTGCCAGAGATTTACATGAACCTTTGCTTCCATTACCAGGCCTTCCACTGAGCCAGGCCAAGGAGATGGATCATCCCACCAGTCCTGGTTTTATGAGTGACAGTGACCTGAGGGACAGCTCTGGAAAGGTAAGGGGTAAGCACAGGGATGAGCAGACTTTCTTTCCTGTGGCTGTTTAGTGCTTGGCCAAAAATGTCACTGGAAATTATCATCTTCCACCCCTTGGGAGATGGGGATGGGGATTATCTTGGGAATCTATTGGACAGCTACAGAGCAATTGCTTGGCTATTTCCAGTGGTGCCAACCCGGGTCACTGGTTTGGAGATGGTGCTAAGGTCATGCCAGAAGAATTCTTTATGTGCAAAGGCTATTTTAGAGAAGTCCTGAATGGCAGAGCAAACTACCCATCAGTGAACGTGGGCAAAGTTCATCCTCAGAAGCAGAGAAGGTTCTAATGTTGAGTGTACACAAGGCTGCAAAATAAAATGGGAGAGTTTGACTTTTCCAGGATACCTTTGTGGCTGCATCTCACAGCCCTCTCCTTCTCAAGTTTTCTGCTCATTAACATCAGTGTTTCTGCAACTTGTTTTCACATGACTCCTCCTTTTGGTCTCGTGGTCTCTGAGCCCAAGTCCTTCAGAGCCCTTCAGAGCCGAGTCTTTGCAAAGGCAGGAAGTGAGAAACAGCTGCAATTCCTGGCCATGAGTGTTAAGCAGTAGCTCATTACCCCTCCTTGCTGGGTATTGCACACGGTGTTTATTCTCCTGCCATGGCCTGTGGGAACTGAATTGCCTGCTCACTGGCCATGTGAGCTCTTCATCTGTCTTGGGGCACTCCTATGACTTTCATGCTTCAAGCAGGCCTTCCTGACAGAGGCTGCAGTGGCAGCAGTAGAAGGTTATGGCACTGAAGTGTTTCACCTCACTGTGTGTAATTTTCAGGGTGAGGATGGGAGACCTTCCTCTGAAACTATTGGAATGTCTGTGGAGCTGCAGTGAAGCCTGTGGCACTCTGTGGACTCTCTGCTCCTGATGAGATGTTGTGTTTGGTTTGTGTGTCTCTGCTTACAGTCTGTGCTGTATTTCCATTGCACCTAGATCTGTCCTGCATTGTGCAAGTTGGCTGAAAAGAACTTTGAGCAGAAGAAAATGGAGCTTCTGGAGAAAGAGTTGGAGAGAAGGAGACAAAATCAAGCATCCTTGCAGCTTCCTTCTCAGCCAGTTGAGCCTGGGGATGCAGCTGGAGCAAGTAAGTGGCTACACTTGTGGTCCTTTCTGACCACTTGCTTTCCCTTTGCACAGTGTTGCAATCAGGCTGGGAGGCTGTTTGGCTTGCATTTGGATGGAAGCTTGCATAGGATTTATTTCTGTTTGCCAAAGAAAAATACAGAAGCATGAAGTGTCTTGCCCATGGCCTCACTGAGTCAGTACCAGAATATCAGCTTCCCACCTTCACCTCTGCAGTCTTTCAGAGGAGAAAATTCTGTCTTGCAAAGTACACTGGGGCTTCAGACTCTCTCCTGGAGAGCAGCCTCCAGGGAAGGCAAGTCCAAAAGAATGCTTTTCAACCAGGCTGCAGCCTGGAAGAAACAAAGTCCAGCTCCTTCTGATGAAAACACCAGAGTTCCTCCTCCTGCTGCTCCCTGCTGAGGAGCTGGCACTGCTGAGCTGTGCTGAAGCCCCAGCCATTGCTTCTGTTGTAGCCCCAGGAGCAAGCAGCGTTCCCGACTGAATCCCGGCCCAGGGGCTCTGACTGCAGGGCTGGGAGCGCTGCCCCGAGGGCGGCAGCAGGGCCCTAAGGAGGCAGCACTCAGCCCGAGGGCATCATGCAAGTTATCTGCACTTTCTTTTGGAAACTTCCCCTGACAGCCTCTGCAACAGGACAACAAAAGCAAAGCAATACTGGCTCTTCCTTGTTTCTTAGGGCAAGCATCACTGCAGTTTGGTTTTAAGATAGAAAAGAGTAGATTTAGATTATATATTAGGGAGAATTTTTTTTAAATTAAAGGGGATGAAAAGCTGGAAGGGTTTGACCAGAGAAGCTGTTGTTGGTTCATCCTTGAAGCTGTTCAAGGCCAGTTTACATGGAGCTCTGATCTAGATGAAAATGTCCCTGCTCATAGGAGTTGGACTAGATGGTGCTTAAAGGTGCTTTCCAACCCAAACTCTTCTAATATTCTGTGATTCTGAGATCACTGTCCCATGTTAGTGTGCTATTGTTATACTTGAAGTTCTTTGGGATAACAGAGATGTTTACCCACCTCCGGTGAGTTTCCTGGCACTTTCCATTGTCACCCTGCCCAGCACTCTCCACTTACAAGCTCCTCTTTGGTCCCTGCAGGCTTTAGGCTACCACCTGTCGATGGCACAGCTGTTAGTGGGCAGAGAAAACAGCCGGCTAGTGACTTGAAGAAGCAGGTTGTGAGGAAGCAGGACAACGTGCCCTTACTGCCCAGTACGTCCACCATCCATGGGGATGGCAGCTTCCCACGCAACTCCACAGGTAAGCCTGATCCCTGGCAGCTTTTTCCCTGCACGGGTTTTTCCTTGCACAAGGAGCACAAACTGCCTCCTGCCTCAGCCAGCACAGCTGGGA